GGGAAACTCTTCATGCGAAAAAATCCCGAGCCTTTCATGAGTTCCTTTTCTCGGATGAGCAGTGGTGATCCATCTTCATTTGATGAACAATTCCGTGACCTAAGCGAAGCTGTAAGTGAACTTTTCTGTTTTTTAGTTTTACGATTTTAGAGAGGTGACTAGCAATCATAAGCTCATTTGCATGTGCAGGGCGCCTCTCGTTCTTTGAAGATGATTGTCCGCACAGTTCTTTCAAACAGGAAGCAAGAAGAAATACCAAATGTAGGTATTCTGATGCTTGTTAACTTAATTTTTCAGATGAATTTCCTCATCAGAATGAGAATTTTGAAGGAGATCCCATCAAGTAGATGCACAAGAAATTGACAGAAATTCTTCCTCTTAACACTCTGATTGGTAACAGATTGTAGAGTCTATGCTAAATAAAGTCATGGAGGAGTTCGAGCGTCGGTTGTTGAGCCAGAATGAGCAGGTGAACTGTCATGTTTACTGAGATGATATCATCCTCCTTTGTCTCCCTCCATATTATCGTGTGGTTTGTGTACTGAAGAAGTTACCTCTTCATATTATTGCTAATAAATCAAATGGGAAATCATGCATACGAAACTGACAGATGAAAACAACAGCAAAAGATATGGAAGAATCTAGCCCTGACATGCCTCTTTCAAGCTCTAGCGATACAAGGGTATGCACTTGGCTTGCACTATGAATATTTCACAAATGCAATGCAGTTGCATAACCTGGAATGTAATTTCAAAAGCATGTTTTTATATTTACAAACGCTCAGAATTATTGAAACCAATTGGGTGACATTTTCTTTTACTAATGCTATGGTTAAGATGGAAGAAGACTCTTCCACACAAATCAATACAGAGGAATGCTGCACGTACAAGGGCAATCCTCATGAGGAAACAATTGACCAGCTTTTGAAACAGCAAGTGTTGTTTGAACGACAACAAAAAGACATTAAGGTAATGTCTCTTTATTATACCAGGGTGAAGTCTTTAAGCCTTTCCAGAAGGCTTTAATAATTGATAAATGATGGTACCTGCAGGAATTGAAAATTACTCTTCATGCTACGAAAGAAGGAATGCATTTTTTGCAGATGAAATATCTGGAGGAGTTCAACAATTTAGGTACAATTAAGATTCTATGCACTTCTTCCAGATTATTAGAGGAGGAGTAATAAATGTCATTACTAGTTTCTTGTAACAGGTAAGCACTTGTACGGTCTAGCTCATGCTGCTTCAGGCTACCAGAGAGTCCTAGAGGAGAACCGCAAGTTATACAATCAAGTGCAGGACCTGAAAGGTATTATCCTTTTATTTTGAATTTTGATTCCATGGATTTACCGCACTCATACACTAAGTTTCTCTACTAGATTTAATGATAATGAATATGATTTATTAGGAAATATTAGAGTATATTGTCGAGTAAGACCCTTCTTGACTGGGCAACCAAACCGTTTTGGTACGGTGTATCGCATAGATGAAGGGAGCATTTCAATTATCACCCCTTCGAAATATGGCAAAGAGGGACGCAAATCATTTAACTTCAACAAAGTTTTTGGTCCTTTGGCAACTCAAGGTGAGTATGGCTAAATTCAGGTTCTTTGTCGTTCTTATCAGCTTTCCTTAACTTTTTTATCCTTCTATTTTTCCTTCAGGGGAGGTTTTTGCAGACACCCAGCCTTTGATCCGGTCTGTTCTTGATGGGTACAATGTATGTATATTTGCATATGGCCAAACAGGATCCGGGAAGACCTATACTATGGTGAGATGTTTCATGTACCATATTAAAACATAAATCTTGGTCAACTGCCTTCGGTTACTCATTTAACTTTATTCATTTCCTTCATTTTTCAGACTGGTCCCAAGGACCTTACAGAGGAAAGCCTAGGTGTAAACTACAGGGCATTGAGTGATCTATTTCTCCTCTCAGATCAAAGAAAGGAAGTTATTTGCTACGATATCTCTGTCCAAATGCTTGAAATTTACAACGAGCAAGTGAGGGATCTCCTTGCAACTGATGGTCTTAACAGAAGATATCCTTCATGACACTTTTTCTTTCAGTTTGACAATGTCTTTCCTTCAACTCAGCTTACTTTTCTACTTGGATTCTTAACTCCTGTATACATTAGATATTCGAAACAGTTCTCAGAATGGAATAAACGTACCAGATGCAAGTCTTTTGTCTGTATCATCACCATCTGATGTCTTAAATTTGATGAACATCGGGCAAAGGAATCGCGCAGTTAGCGCTACGGCCATGAATGACCGGAGCAGTCGATCCCATAGGTGTGCCTAATGCTGCAGAAAATGATTCATGTCGCAGTTGTGATTCTCAGAGTACTAATAAAATAATAGTGCTTAATTAAATGATACTTATATATTGGCCCATATTTGCAGCTGCCTGACAGTTCATGTTCAAGGGAGAGAGTTGGCATCTGGAACAGTAATCCGTGGTTCAATGCATCTTGTTGACCTGGCAGGAAGTGAACGGATTGACAAATCTGAGGTGACAGGAGATAGATTAAAGGAAGCACAGCATATCAATAAATCTCTTTCTGCTTTGGGAGATGTGATTGCCTCTCTTGCTCAAAAAAACTCACATGTTCCCTACAGGAACAGCAAACTCACTCAACTACTCCAGGATTCACTTGGTAAGATTAACCGAAGGCATTCTGTTTCCCTTCTTTCTCTGATATAATCTCATTATGCTTATTTTTCTGGTCCAAATAATCACCAGGAGGGCAGGCTAAGACCCTCATGTTTGTCCACATAAGTCCTGAGGCTGATGCTCTTGGAGAAACAATTAGCACACTTAAATTCGCTGAACGGGTTGCCACTGTTGAGCTTGGCGCTGCTCGAGTTAATAAAGATAGTTCAGAGGTGAAGGAGCTGAAAGAGCAGGTTCTTTATGCTCTTCATCTTTTTTTCTTCTTTGGGATCAGGTTAAGAATTGGCCTCGTTTTATATATGTCCTTGTACATGATACACGAAAATGATGGGCTTGCCTATTTTCAGATTTTTTTTTCCCTGTAAGGCACGTCTTAGAGCTGCTAGTTTTGTTATTATTGAATTTCTTATTATCTCTTACGTACCTTTTCATCTAGAAATGCAGTGACTTATTTTTATTATGTCTGGTTTCAGATTGCTAATCTCAAAGCAGCCTTAGCAATGAAGGAAGGAGAGTCAGAAAATTCACAGCATTCTCGATCCAGCACCCCAGAAAGACTTAAAAGGAAGCCTGGTTTGCCCTTTTCTTATAGTTGGCATAGTGCAAGTAGCATCACCAATGGTCATAGGCAGATGGACGATGGTAATGCAGAGGTAAAAATGTTAACATAACCAATGACTGAAATTGATTCTTTGCACGCTGCTTTCAGTTGTAGATATATTTGTTCAATGATTAATCTTGCCTGAGCATGGAGGTTGGACTCCTGGTTTACATTTAATGCCCATGGGCACACATCTTTTAATGTTTGGATTTCCCATTTAATAATCTGGATAATGCTTATTTTACTAATTATACTAAGACATGCCATTTTACCATTAGAAAATCATCTCAACATCATGTGAAAATGATTTTACTGCATGTTTGTAATATGTGTATATTTGCCCAATTTAGCCATCTATCAAAGAATAAAGTTAATATTCATAACCATAATTTACATACTGATTAATGATCTGCAGGTTAGGAACCACTATTCATCTATTCCAAGAAGGCGAAGCCTGGATCCCCAGGATTTGATCATGTATTCACCTCCTTGGTCATCTGCTGGCAGTCCCGCATTGAGTGGAAAGGAGGATGATAAAGAATCGGTGTTTGGTGACTGGGTTGACAAGGTCGTGGTGAATAGGCTTGACGCTGCAAGAAGAGATGAAAATCCTGCAGGGCAATGGGAAGTAGATAGCAGACAATTGCCTGGGATGTTTTATCAGGTTTATGCTCGAGACCCTTCAAAGATTTATCCAGAACAACCCTACAAATCTCCACAAAACACAAAGGACAACCAAGAGTATGATGCTCAGAGGAGCAGGTTTGAAATGGCATCCACTGATGACTCTGATGAACTTGAGGCTGCAACAAGTGATTCTTCTGAACCAGATTTGCTATGGCAATCTAACATTCCTAGAATGGCCAGCCTTCCCAATCCCAATGTGTTGGGATCTAAAACAAAGAAGACTACTAATCCAAGGGGATTCAAGAGCACAGAAACAAGGTAAGCTATCTGATTACTGATCTCTTTTCTTTGAGTCACATTTCTGGTTATGTAAACTTATAGATGCATGCATTACTTATCTAACATGTAAGCTTTCTTTGCTGTTGATACCACTGCTATTTTATCTTGTTTCCAGACTAGCATTTTCTTTTAAGGTTGCCACTTCGATTTTTGTCAACAGGAAGTTTAATACTTTAATTTTTCTGGTTTTGTTAACAGGAGTTTAATTCCATCGCTAATTCCTTCACCATCAAGGAAACTACCAAATGGGGTGAGGCCAGGCCTCAACAAACCTGGAAGGCAGCTTATTTCTGTTGATGGAAAGAGGAAAACTGGGCATGCAAAGTGACATAAAAGGAAGTGGCTTGGTGATTTTTTTTTTCTTTTCCTTTCCTTTTTTCCATTTTTTGTGTATCTATTGTATAGTTGTAGAGAAAGGGATATAGAGAGGAGAAAGAGTTGAATGGTAATGGATTTCAATTGCCTGTGTTTCTGTGGTGGTGATCATGAGATTTATGCTGTCCCGCCATGCCGATTTCGATTTATTTAGACGAGTGTTCTTCATCTGGTGAATTCTTTTGACATCTTCTTCTTTTCCTTTTGTATTGATCAGTTGTTTAAAGAGAATTGCAATATATAGAAAAGATCAAGAAATTACATCATCCCGTCTTCATTATGTGTTTCTGCACTTGTACTTTTCTCAGCCTTTTGGATAACATTGAGCGATTACGTTTCTATATGGCATCCTTTCTGGATCATAAACTCAGAAAAGGAGAGAAAACAAAGCAAGGAAAGCAAATGAACATAAACTCATAAATTTGACACAAGTTTCTGCTTCTCTTAGCTAGTCTGAAAATGTACGAGCAATTAGCAAAGCTATGGCATTGTATTTGCGCTTCCCTGAATATCTATAGAAGTTCGGTGATGTGTTTACAACAGTTCCATGCCTGTCCTCAATGTATCCAATGCAGCTGACCAGCTAGCTAGACTCCTTCCTCTTTTGCAACTCTTCCCCACTTTTACTGATACAAGTATCTTTAGTTCCTCAATTGGATAGCTGGTATAAGAATTTGAAATACAAATATTGCTATCATAGCCTACACATATGAGTTCATTCTACAAACGCTAGCAATCTTAAGATCCCAAGAGACAGAAAATTATCCCTGGAATGATATCTTAATATATTTTCCAGTCTTATTACTTGGACTCCGGATCTGGATCCGTACCTGATATGTTAGTTTGTCTTACTACTTGGCTATTTATAAGCAGCAGGTGCAACTCATTGTACTGTGCAGTGAGGAACTCAGCAACCACAGTGCCATAAGCATCTGATATTAGTCTTGAATATTAGGATCCTGCAGGTCTGGTTAATAAATGGAGACATATTTACGACAGGCAAAGGGATGCATGATACTTATAATTAACCAGTCTTCTTTAAAAAAGAAAACCCTAGTTCAATTACAAAGGTAGGAGGACTCGGCGACATGTGGCTCCTCAACCAGACCAGCAAGAAGTTCAATGAAGAACTTGCATCAATGTGAGCTCAAGACATCTTTTGACATATAAAGATGGTCAACTAGCTAGTTAACTTTTCTTTTTTTCTTTTTTAATGTTATATAGCTGAAATTAGCCTAATCAACTGGTTATTAAAAAATACTTGGAGTTGATGGGATTTCACAGATCAATATTTAATCCAATTTAATTACAAATTCGGTTGCAATCAAATTTCAAATCTCAATTTCCCCAAATCAATTATGAAGCTATAAGTTTAGCAAGCGTGGCCATGATTGTGACTTTCCTCAGGCCACCAAACGTCCACTTGCTTTGCTTGTGGATGCAAGTCAACCTTTCCAGCTAGGGATCAGGACCCCATTGGAATGAGTGGGAAAACCCTAAGTGGGGCCCAATCACACATGGCCACGTCAGGAGGTGCCATTGATGCTTGTTTCTTATGAGTGAAAGAAAATTATATTTATATCCACAAAAATCCCATCAAGACAACACCACCACCATCGTTTGCCACCGGTGAAAGAATTTAGGGTTTTGCCACCCCATTGTGAATTTTTTTTGCTTGAAGATTCAGTCCCGCCTTCATCGTATGCATATTCAAGCCCTTGAATGGATTGAGATAGGTAAATTTTTTAAAAATTTCTTATTCTGGCATGGATGCATGATTCTTCACACAAGAAATCATTTTTAACCTAATCTGCTGATCCTTTTTTAAAGGTTTGGACGTTAAGATCAAGGCACATGGTTTTCTAGAGATCATTTTCCATGAATTGGATTGACACTGAATGTGAAAGGAAGATAAAATGTCATTCCAGCAATGGAGTCCAGCTATAAGGAAAATGATAGTCCAAAAAAAGAAAGGGCAAAGCACTTGAATTATAATGAAGTATCTTTGAGATCAACCAAAGCAAAATAAAAATTTCTAATCTTGCATGCTCATTCTCTGCCTTTAAAAATATAGAATAGTTATAAGAACTCATTTAGAAATTGACTCGAGTCGAATAAAGGATTAAATGAGTTGATTGACAAGTTTATATAATTTTATATAATTTTTTAGCTTTATACATCACCATTTAATACTTTTTATCCATCAAAATAGTATAATTATAAGATCCGATTAGAAAATTAATCATGTTTAAGGTTTATATTATGAATTAGATAGATTTACTTACGAGTTGATATAATTTTATATGATTTATTAATTGTATACATTATCTAGTATTTTCTATTTCTCGAAATAGTATAGTTATAAGACTCCATATAGGAGTTGATATATTAACCTGCATGATAACTAATTAACCTAAATTTTAATTTTTTCTTAAACCTTTGAAAACGATATTGTTTTAATAAAAAAAAACCTAGATTTTTCCACTAATCTATCCAAGCCTAACCTCAACAAATCACAAAATTAACCCATTCAAGTCAGCCTAGTCTTACAAGTAGTTGGCTGGTCTATTTTGATTATGAAATTGCATATCATGATTAGATCAATTAATCAGCCTGTTTTCCTCTTATCCCACATAATTATTGCCAGCCAGCACACAGCACCTTTTCTCAATATATCTCGAGCATGTTCATGAAAGTCAAAATCCTAACAATGACATTTGTTGAGGGATCGAAAGAAATTCCCAATAAGTAAATTAACAACAAAAGTCAAAACCCCCTAAATAAAAAATAATAATCATTTTAGTCCCTCGTCATCTGCTAATTCAGTTGGGTTGTATCTGTTATGATGTTCCAATTTTATTTTTATTTTAAGACATGACATCCTTTCGACTACTGTAATATGAGGCAAATTTTAGAATATCTCTCTGCCTCCCAACATATTTTGCTTGACAGATACTTCAAATAATGATGTGAGATGGTATACTTTCGTTCACATTTATTAAATTCGACTAGACTCGGCTTGTAAGAACCTCTCTTTAAGTTCTCTAGCCTGGATCAAGTTTTTTTTTTTTAAAAAAAAAATATTAACTTGACGAGTGTTTCACCCAGCTAGAGCAATGATCTAATTTTTTTACTATTTTTTCTTATATATATATATATGTTCTAAAAATAGTACAGAATATTATTTATATTTAATAATTATAAATTACATAATTTTTTAAAAAAAAATTGATTTTTTTTATTAAAAAATTGGACAGGTCAGGCAACATTGCATGGAAACTTTCCTCAACCCAACCTGGTCCAACTGGGTTGAAGTAGAAATTAGATGATGAATACAAATATTTCAAGTTGAAGTAGGACAAAGTAACTTAGATCTCATTCGACACCATTCTTAATCAATTATTTATATTTTTTTAACATCATTCTTAATTAATTAATTATTTTTCTAAAGTAATATTATTTTTATTTTTTTAAAAGAATTTTAGTCAACTTAATTTTTTGGGAGGTTAATATACAGTGGATTTTATAGAAATAATAAGATAAAAAACCCAATTGGAATTTTTTTATATTACATAGAATGATTAAGATATCAAAATTGTCATCAATATTTAAAATATTAAAAAAAAAAATTGTAATTATTTAAAATATAGTGAAAATTGTTTTTGTTTGAAAATATATTAAAATAATATTATATTTTATATTTTAAATTTATTTTTAATATTAGTATATATCAAAACAATACAGCAACATAAAATAAAAAGAAATTTTAAAACACGTTACAACCGCAATCTCAGGTACCATCTTTGCCCGAAAACAAAACTCACCTCTTGAACACTCACCAGCGCACACAGAAAAACCCCGCGTCTCTCTCTCTATCTATATTTTACGTCTTTCTAGATTTCTCTTCCAATCAAATCACTCAAACTTGTAAGCTTTTTTTCTCTCTCTCTCTAAAAAAAAAACCTGTCTTTTTCTTGGTTTGTTCAAGAATAAAAACTGGAACTCTGTCCTAGTTTTTAACGAAAAAATCTTGGGTTTTGGTTGCAGAAATGAAAGTTAATTAATAGATCAAATCTTGCCAATGCTGGATCTGTTGATACCTCTTCATGTTTCAACCGTGAGTGCCTTTTCTTTTCTGGGTTTGTTTTTTAATGTTCTTGGCTTTCACTTTTTAATATACATTTTGTGTTTAAGTGCTTAAAGTTGTGTTTTTTGGCTTACTTCAGTGACCCTTTGTGGTTCCTTTTGTTTTGGGGTACTCAAGATTGGTTCTTGATGGAAAATAAGGAAGACCCATTTCTTATGATTTGAGTAATTTTGGTGGGTGATGAATAATTTGGTGAAGTTTTGTTGAAGAAGTGTAGTGGGTTTGTTTTGATGGAAAATAATGAAGACCCATTTGTTGGGATTTGCGCTTTTTGGGTTTAGTCATTTGATTTGTTCTTATTTGAGTGAAAATTAGATAAAATCGTGGAGAATTGGGTTGGTTGATGAATTGTGTACTAAAAGTCTTGTTTTAGTGGGGTTGAAGAAATAAGGTTTTAGCATTAATTTGTTTTACTAGTGTAAAGACTGAGACTTTCATAATTGCATTAACTATTTCTAGCTTTAGTTTACTTGCAGATGCATTGTTTTGTACTGAATTGATTTATGGAATCTTAAATTTAGTTCAGATACTCGTGTGAAATTATATGAACTCAAAAAGTTTTCCTTTTTCCTTTTCATGGTGAAGATATTCCTGGAAAAAAAAAAGATTCTTTAAGTGATTTTAGTGTTTGTTGAACTACATTGTCACGTGAAGGTTTTATGATTCAGTCAGATACGCATCTTTAATTTGCTTCATGAAAGATTGAATAGGGTTTTGGCACTGGGGTTATGGAAATGTTGACACGTAAACTGCCATGAGCCAGGACGAAGTATCAAGGATGAGACCTCCTCTCGTTCCACTTGCGACATTGATTGGACGTGAGCTTAGGAACGAGAAGATCGAGAAACCTTACGTGAAGTATGGACAAGCTGCTTTAGCAAAGAAAGGAGAGGATTACTTTCTCATAAAACCCGACTGCCAGAGGGTTCCTGGGGATCTGTCGACATCATTTTCTGTGTTTGCGGTACTCCCCCTTTCTTTTATACAAGTTATTTACTTCCTCATTCAAGAGATGGTTCTGCATGGTTGCTGAGATAGTTAAGCAGAAGAAAAGGAAAGGATCAAATAATTTGTGTTTATATCATGAAAAAAATAATCACCCTTTCTCCTTCAGTCCCAAATATTTGGAGACTTGATTTGAATCTTTAATTTATTTCCTTTTATTTTCCCAACCTTTATCCATGATAAAGTGGACCTTATGTGAATTAGGAGTAACTTTAGAACCCGCCAAAATTCTTAAATTTGGTTTTATTGATTTCCACATAAATACTCAGTGTTTGTTTTGTTGGCAGATCTTTGATGGACATAATGGGATATCAGCTGCTATCTTTGCAAAGGAGCAGTTATTGGACAATGTCTTGAGTGCTATTCCTCAAGACATCAGTAGGGAAGAGTGGCTTCAAGCGCTTCCTCGAGCACTTGTTGCTGGTTTTGTGAAAACTGACATAGAATTCCAGCAGGGAGGTGTGTCTCTGGACCCCTTCTATTGTAGTTTTATTCTTTTTGTTGCATCCTGCACTTCTTTTCTCTGTGTGTTTGTTGTGTACAGGTTCTAATCTTTCAGTTTAATTTAAATTGCAGGGGAGACTTCCGGGACAACTGTGACATTTGTCATAATTGATGGGTGGACTGTGACTGTTGCTTCTGTGGGGGATTCACGATGCATATTGGACAGCCAGGGGGGTGTGGTTTCTCTCTTGACAGTTGATCACAGGCTAGAAGAAAATGTAGAAGAGAGGGAACGTGTAACTGCAAGTGGGGGTGAAGTAGGAAGGCTAAATGTTTTTGGGGGCAACGAGGTTTGGTGCACTTTTTATTTGTCACTTATGACATGTTCAGATATGTATTTTATTCGCCCCCTCCTCACCTCTTGTTTTTATCTTATATGTACGATCTCCCAATGGTTTGTAGGTTGGTCCTCTGCGTTGTTGGCCAGGTGGATTATGTCTTTCTAGGTCAATTGGCGACACGGATGTTGGAGAGTTCATTGTTCCAATACCCCATGTCAAGCAAGTGAAAGTGAGCTCATTTTTTGATGTCAATGATGGGTTTTCAACTGTTTTTTTTAATTAATTTTGAAGCTTAGAAAATTCCTTTTCTGGTTATTTAGCTTTCAAATTTTGGTGGAAGACTCATCATTGCTTCTGATGGTATCTGGGATGCTTTATCTTCTGATATGGCTGCCAAGTCTTGTAGGGGTTTACCTGCAGAGCTTGCTGCAAAGTTGGTTGTTAAGGTGACATCTAGCATACTCTAGCTTCTTGTGTGTTTTCCATGATGCTTATTTTGCTTTATTACTAATACTTGTTTGTTTTCGCTCTTTAGGAGGCATTGAGATCAAGGGGCCTGAAGGATGATACGACTTGCCTTGTTGTTGATATCATCCCATCTGACATTCTTTTCTTACCTACAATACCCAGGAAGAAGCACAATATGTTCAGTTCGCTTCTTTTTGGAAAGAAAGCTCTGAACTCTGTGAGCAAATCAACAAATAAGCTTTCTGCAGTTGGTCTGGTGGAGGAACTGTTTGAAGAGGGTTCAGCTGTTCTTGCAGAAAGGTATGTTGATTGTAAGATTCGTTTTTATTATTTTTCACAGATAGTTTATGTAAAACCAGAGTATAAGACCAGAGGAGAACTCACCTCCCTATGGTCTTTGATTACATATCCCATTATTCAGTGGATGATGACAATTGATCTGTTTATTCCTTCACTTAGATAATGCAACTATTAAGTGAAAAGGGGAATAGGTAGTTTTGAAGTTCTGTCCTCTTGGAATGTAATTTTTAATTTGTGGTTTCTTCATTTTTTTCAATGAAAATGCAGATTAGGTAAGGATTTCCCCGTGAACACCAACTCTGGGATACACAGATGTGCTGTCTGCCAAGTGGATCAAACCCCAGCTGACGGTTTATCAGTCAACTCGGGCTCTTTCTTCTCACCTGGGTCAAAGCCATGTGATGGCCTCTTCCTCTGCAGTAACTGTAGGAAAAAGAAAGATGCTATGGAAGGCAAAAGGCCAAGTAGACCCACAGTGACTGCATAGCTACCTACCTATCTGGTAACAGAGTAAATATTTGACATATTTTTGCTGGCAGTGTGAGCATGCTTGGCTTTACTTTCCGGTACTGATTGTAATAGATTTGTAAGAAATGAGGTAGAAATACAGGCAGTAGGTGTTTTTGTCTTTCAATTGTTTGTATTGATTGTGGTTTGTGCCCGGCTTCTGTACTGACTGACAGAAGACAGAAATGCTGTCTGATAGATATGTTTGTGATAGTTTGATTGCTAACAGTTTGAATTTGTAAGTAAAAATGAAGGCTGCATAGTTAAATGTTATATTGTGTTTACTTCGCTTACAGTGTAATAGAAAAGCAAACTACATACAAAAATGGCTTCATGTGATGTTTACAATTAAGAGTTTCTATGTTTGTGTCATCCTGTTTGGTTTCTAGGGATGTTAACCATTTTTTTCTAGTTTGTTTTGGATTGACTCGCTAAGTTCACTAGGTCAAACCGGATGAACTCCAGGCTAGGGGGGTTGAGACTCAAGTTTTTTAACCTCTAACTGCGTGCCACTTGATGCTTCATTCAATGCCCAAAAACTAAATAAGCCAAATGCCAAATATATCAATACGTGGTAAAAATATATTTAAAGCTTTTGCACAATCTTCCCTCCTTTCTGCTTGTCTCTATAGTCCAAAGTGCAAAGGGCAACAAAGGTAGAGTTGAGTTCTCCTGGTGTGCTTTGCTTTATATGGACAAGAAGAGATTCTTAGAAGGACAGTTCGCTCATTATTGTTGCTTTTAACCTGTCAATCATAATAATCGATTACATGCATTCAAAAGTGAATTATTATTAAGGAAGTTGCCCCATAATCACTCTTGATAGTGAAAGCTTGGTATCCATTGAATACATGAAAGATAAGTAGGATCCACCAGCTCCATATATGAAGTAAAAAAATCAAGAAAAAAGAACTTGAATTTATTCAATTTTAAATAGCGAAAATCTAGATGGAACAAGCACACACATACGAGCAATAGAAAGAAAAGAAAATGAACAAGGACATGAGATGTGAATTAGGCATGACAAGCAGCAATATGGTTCAAAAGCTTGCACCACAAGCAGTCAAGTGCTGCCTCCTAGAGTGGAGGCAGCCACTGCAGCTCAATTCCGTAGTTCCATCTATCAATGGGATCATCAGGTTTGATGTCCACAACAGAAGTATAAGCAGTGCACCCTCCAGCCCTGACCCTAATCCTGTGTGAGGTCATTGCTGTATCTTTCAAAAAGTGGCAACAAAGAGTACCTTTGCATCCACTTCCCTCTCCAACCTCCTCATACTGCCTACAAAAGCTGGTCGATGAACAGTTCAACGGTGACAGTAGGATGTTATCAGAACAGTTGAATAACATAACAGTGTTATGAGTGGATATGTTGAACGACGAGTTTTCGTTGAGACTTAATCCTCCTAGGGAAAG